TTCTCAGACCAAGTGGGCCGAGTGGACCGAGGTCAAGTTGATTCGATCCCTTTAACAGTTTTATTGATAAATTTATAATTTAACGGATTCAAATTTTAAATTTGAGACTTTAATTTTCAGATTTCAATTCTACAAAATGCAGCGCAAGTCTTTAATGGAATAAAACGCGTCAGACTTCCAAACTAAACGGCGAATTTCTTAGTATATTGTCGATTTTGAAAAAGTTCACAAAATTGGGGTTGCGTGGGGAGTTTTGCTGGTTAAGGGGTCGCCGCAATTAGGAGTGGAGGCGACTAGAAAAAAGAGTTTTAATTTTCATTTATTTTGGTTTCATTTTTTGGTTCGGTTTTTTATAAAAATAAAATAAAAAAAAAACATCTTGACCGCTCATGGGATGAGCGGCAAAGGAATGTTCCTAATTGCTTCGCCGCTCATCTGATGAGCGGCGAAGGAATGTGGCTCAAATTGCTTTGCCGCTCATTTGATGAGCGGCGAAGCTTTTGTCTTTTGTTATTTTTTTTTTCCTTTTTTTTTCGAAGCATTCTTCCTATCTTTTTATTAATTTTTTCGAAGCATTCTTCCTACATTTTTATTATTTCATATGTAATTTTTAATAAGTTATTTATTATTTCATATGTAATTTTTAATAAGTGTCGCCGCTCATTCTAATTTATTTTTTTGCTCCTATCTTTTATTATTTCATATGTAATTTTTAATAAATTACTTAACGTTTAATAAAGGCAGCGCGACCAAGTTTTTTCCTGCCGTTTTTCATAACCCTTAAATACGTGTAATTAGAATTTTACGTTTTACATGAAATACTAATTTTCAAATTACAATGTAATACATTTTAAATTAAAATTCTTAAATCATATTACTAAAATTCTATTATAAACCAAAATTATCAAAAATTTAAAATATGATATTAGAATAATGAGAAATTTATAAATTAGCATGATAATCGAATATGCTATTAAATTACTAATAAAATTTACTTAAGTCATATTTTTAAATTTTATAATATTATTATTGCAATCAATAATGATAAATAATACAATATTTACAGAATGTAATAATTACTATATAAACTTAAATAATAATAAATTATGCATAATTAGAGTTTAGAATTTAAATAATTGGTATGGTGTTAAAAATATTGTAAAATTTACCTAAGTCATATTTTTAAAATTTTTAATGATAATGCTAAATTAAATAATAATAAATAATGCAACATTAAACAATATTTATAGAATGTAATAATTAGCAATAAAATGAGAGTTTTGATAATTATTTCACACATCAACACGCCTCTTGCCCTTATCTCGCGGAGTGGTAGAACAATCACATTTCCAATGAATTCTCCTATGTGGTAGATCTCGTCCTAATTGTAATCGTTCGGACCTCCGAGGTAGTGCATGAACTTGTTCAAGTGTTTGATCATCGTCATCATCAACGGAGGAATCGAATACCGGAGTTTGACCGCATCTAGGACAAGAACCATGTATAGGCACTCTGAAAGAAGCACTAATAGGAACACTGTCGTCGTCCTTATGCAAAGCAGGTGAGAAACCAGCCGAGAACCCTATAAAATGGTGCATTTGATCAAAATTATCCTGAAACTGAATTTCTGGACACATTGTTGTATCAATCATTGTAGACGACAATGCAGCAGCAGACGTACAGCCAAATACGGGTATGGGAGTAGGTGTGTCACTGAAATGACCTCCAAAAGTTGGCACAGTAAGAGGTGTGAAGAAAGCTTCATTATGAGAAAAATGTGTGCCAATAGGTGGATCGTAACCGGATAGTGATGAAATCTGCATTATATCTTCGTCCGGAACATGAACAGCATGCGTAGAGGTGCTCCCTCTGCGACGTCTAACTACTTGTTTCCTACCATGGACTTCCCTAGGTAGATGCTCGACAGGCATCTGAAAAGGGGCAGCAGAAGAGGCAGATTGACTAATATCTTGACGGACAAATGGACCAGCTACTGTTTTATGTCCTAGATTCAGGTACTATAATGCGCCAAATGCCTCCTCACGAATAGCTGTTAGTCCCGGATGAGCACACTGCGTTGGATTTTTGGGATCAAGATACATCCCACAAATCGAACCAATTGTCGAACAGATCTAACTCCTTCACTCTCTGGTATGGTCGATAGAATTGTCGAATTGAAAATTTCCATTTGAGGCAACTCATCAAAAGAACGATTTATCATTCTTGCACTTTCAGTTACCTCAGTACAAAACATACTGTTTGACTCCTTTTCAAAATCATTCTCGAGTAATGATGTTTATCCACCCTCATGGTCACTTTGAATATGATAGGTTCGTGACTCTACTTCTACATATATCTCACATACCGTGTGTGGTGACATCGACTTCATATGATATAGCATATCAATGTCATTTTCGCATTCCAATTGCACTCCAGCAAATATGTCTTGGCCAACAGCATTTCTAAACCATAGATTCAACTTGCAAATATTCCGATCTAATTGCATGTAGGTGTACACTCTATCCACCAATTCATCATAACTTATTCGATGTTTCACTAAAACAGCTTTTTTACACCGTGGAGGTTCATATGCGAATGATCCTCCGGTCTCGTTTATTCTGCCTCCCCAATAAAATTGAAACACCAATGCAAGATCCATCGACATTTTTTCCTACTCTTACGAATATTTTTATGTCAACTTATTTCTTTTAACAACTTATCATAATTACAAATATTAATGCAATAAACGTTTTCATTGGTAATAGCACCACTAATAAAATAATCATCAATATCAAATAAATAAATAAAAATAAATTTATCAAACAAATAGTATATTATTCACATTATTAGAGTAATGATTTTCTTTAATTAATCATAGGTATTATTAGACTATGCTTGTAGTACTGTAGCTTATATTTTTAAAACTATTAGTATTACTTATTGTTTATTATTCATATTAATATTACTAAACTATATATTAATAGTACTGATATTATCAATGTATCAATTAATATCTCACTATCTCATATTGTATTATTGTTATTTTTACTATATAATTTTAAGCACTCACTATTTACTATTTATTATTTATTATTTATTACTTACTATTTATTATTAACTATTAACTATTTATCATTTACCATTTATTATTTACCATTTACTATTTACTATTTACCCGTTACTATTTACCATTTACCATTTACATTATCAGTTACTTTTTACTTGTTACTATTTATCATTTACTATTTACTACTTACCACTTATTATTTACAATTTATTATTTATTATTTATTATTTACTATTTACTATTTACTATTTAACATTTATCATTTATCTTTTATCACTTTCTATTTACTATTTATTATTTAACATCTACCATTATTTACCTTTTATTCATCATTCGCCTAAACGATTACTGCATCGATAAAATTAATTCTAAAATCCGTCAATAAATAATCTTTAAAAAACTTCTTTAGTAACCATAAAAGGCTAACCTTATCATTTGACTGTTAAATAATCTTAAATGTAAATAATAATTCACCTGCCAACGATTATTAAATGTTAAAAACTATCACCTTTTATTCATCTGACCTTTAATATCAATAAATAATCATTTAATAATATATTTTACTATTAATATTCATTATTAATTCACCTAAAAGACTTGTAGGCAAACCATAAATAAATCATAAATAAAAGACTATTGCAAACCATAAATAAAAGACTACTGCAAACTATAAATAAATATCTCATTCCAAAATTAAATAAATGTAAAGTAGCATAATATTTAGAACTTAACATAACTGCAAATATAATACAAATATTATTAACAAAATTATTAAATAAACTAACTTGGTCAGTGATATGTCGTTTCTTTACAAAATTTCTTTCCGATCCACCCCTCAAATTGTAACGTTGCTTTCTTGAATCATCGTCTTAATTGATCAACTATTCTCGAAAATTTAGGAGAAATATAAGATGAGGACCACCAGAAAGGGAAAGCTAAGAAAAATTTGTGAAAACGATGAAGAAGAAGATGAGGACCACACCAGAAAAAGAAAGAAAACGAAGAAAGTGTGTTTTCTCAAGTGAATATATAGAGAAGAGAGAACATGTTGAGGTTGTCCGTGAAAATGGGGCAGCATAGTTATTGTCGGCAAACAATAGTATTGCATTGACTACAAATTGTCTTTGACTAAATATTTAACTTTGATTAGTTTAGTTTAAAAAAAGATTAGTCCATGGCCGTTGGCCTTTTTTATCCAATGACAACCATTGGATATGGGTTGGCGGGGTTGACGGTGGAAAAACTGTCGCCGCAATCAAGATTTGCGGTTTTATTTTAAAAATATTATTTTTCAATTAAATTAAGCCATCTCACTTTAAAGAAAATATTTTGATCGACAGCATCCGTATTGTGATCAACAGTGGAAAAAAAAATCTACTCCAAATTTGCGGCGTCAATAAAAAATAATTTTTTACGCCGCAAATCAAGTAGCAAATACGAAAAAATTATTTAGTGCCTCCTCTCCACATGAGGCAAATAATTTGGCCTCAAACAAAAAAGTGAAAAAGTAGTCTGACATATGGAGAAAAAGTCAAAAAGTACTACTCTCTCCAACCCGCAAATAATTTTGGTCTCAAGCAATAAAATTCAAAAAGTCATCTGACATCTCAACAAAAGTCAAAAGTTGCTCCTGACGTCCTGTAAAATCATGGTCAGGCTTTAAGGCCCTTTCGCCGCTCATCTGATGAGCGGCGAAGCGTTGTTATTTAAAAAAAAAAAACCGAACCAAAAAATGAAACCAAAATAAATGAAAATTAAAACTCTTTTTTCTAGTCGCCTCCACTCCTAATTGTGGCGACCCCTTAACCAGCAAAACTCCCCACACAACCCCAATTTTGTGAACTTTTTTAAAATCGACAATATACTAAGAAATTCGCCAAACTAAACAACACAAAATTCCATGACCAACATCAATATTCCTATTGAGTCTATGGTCCTTAATTCGATTCCGATTCCAGAGTTTGAACCAAACGCCACCTTACTCTTATGAACCTGTAGAACCTTCATCCGCCTATAGGTTGCACTTCATTCCCCCCACAGACTGCTCAGTCCACAAACCCTTACTAGATCCCACTATCTCAACCTGGAAAGAATTCCAGTCCTTCGCCCTCAAATAGCCACCACAATCATAAGCCTAGCAGCAACTCCGATACCCCTCGGCCACCGCTTTGTGTCGCCTAGTAACCCCTTCAATCATCATGTACACTCCAGTAAAATTTCCATCTTGAACCCAGGAAGAAAGATAAAGAAAATCCCCCCAAAAAGGAGTGAAGAAAAGAGACTAGTAGTGAATTAATAATGGTGGTGGCTTCGGGAACCAATCCCTTTGCTAAGGAGATGGCTATCAGAAGACGTATTGCCGGAATGTACGCTTTAAAACCCCGTCTTCTGTCTATTTATTTATTCTTCTATGTAATAATGTTCAAGTTATCATCTCTCCCTAATAATGTTAATTGGCTTTTTTCTTCAGTTGAATTTATTGATCTTATGTTATTATTTTATTTACTTAAATTGTTAGTCTAGTCTAATTGTTTCTTGTGTCTTTTGTTATAATACTTTAAATGAGTTTTTTGCATTGGCATCTTGCAAATTGATTCAAATTATTCAGTTTTCGCATTGTTAAAGTTTCTACAATAGCAAGAAACTTTTGATGTTTTAGTGAAGTTAATTGGAATGACCTGCCCTTATTGGAGTATTGTTTTTCTTTTTCGATTTTTTCCCCTCTTTGTAGTAACTTTTTGGTTTTTCTTTGGTTAAGCAGACTTGAATTGAAGGGAAAAATCATTAGGATTGTGAGAAAATGTTGGCTTTGTGTTAAGCAGTTTTACGGGTAGAGGAAGAGGGGCTCTTTTTTCTTCGCTATATTTGGTTGAGATTTCAATTTTGAGGCACAAGCTTTTCAAGTGATATGCATTCCTACTTTTTTGTGTTTCCAAAATATATTTTATTCCTTTCTGTTTGTGTATCTAAAGAACAATTGGCATTACAGCCTAGTTTAGAGAGAGAGAGAGAGTATCTAAAGAACTATTGGCATTACGGCCAAGTTGAGAGAGAGAGAGAAGTAAGTAAATGGATGTTAATAATACTATAGAATGGAGATTTTGTTCTCGAATAACTGAGCGTTATTATTATGGATTTTCATTCCTTTCTGTTTGATGTTGCTTTGTTGGTTACTTGTTTTAATTATCATTTTTATCCCTTATTGATTAGATTTTTTGTCTTATAACATCTCAGATTTAACAAAAGAGAAGAAGATTTTCCTTCTTTAAAGGAGTATAATGATTATTTAGAAGAAGTGGAGGATATGGGTAAGTTAAATTCAAGTGGCCTATCAAGCACAAAAGGAGTTTTTTTTCTTTTATTTTTATTTCTTAGTTGAACCTGTTGTCTATTGTAGTCAAGATTTTTCTCTTCTTTCTTGCAGTAGTTAATTTAATTGAAGGAATAGATGTTCCTGCTATTGAAGCAAAGATTGCTCAATATCAGAGAGAAAATGCTGAACAGATCATGATTGCTCAAGCTCGTAAGGTTGGTAGATATATTTCATCTAATGTATTACCAATTAGTAATTTATGTTATCTCTTTTGTGACTTTTTGCTCTAGTAGGCTGAAGAGTATGCTGCAGCTCTCACAGCAAGCAAGGGGCAGAATGGGCAAGCTGACAATGATACGGTGAGTTTTCTATTGGCTAAGATCTATTGTAGCTTTTTTTTTTCTACACTATGTAGTAATTGGAGAATTATGTGCAATAGAACGTGGTCTTCTATTTTCTCATCCATCATCAGCTGCTGATAGCTTATTTTAGCTTCATTGAGTTTCAAACTCGTTGCATTTTTTATAGTTTCTTTCAAAGATAAGCTTAATACCTTGTTTTTACCTTCTACAGTTAGTCAGTAGCTGTGATCTGAGTAATTGGTTGTTTTTATTCTTTTTTGGCATGCCATTTAGTTCTCTTAAGTTAGTTTTTCTTCCCCTCCTTTTAGTTTTTTTTTTGGGGGGGGGGGGTGGGGCAAGGTGGGATCTCTTTGTCTTGACTGATGATCAATTTGGTGCTCTTCTTCTGTAAATTCAAATTGAAATGCCTTCACTTTTTAAAGTGAAAATTAAGCTGGTTGGTCCTGAGTTGTCATTTCCCTTTTGTGTTTATCTGTCAACCAGAGTTTTGTGTAGTAGAAGCACTCTCATATATCCTATTTTGATGGTATGTTTCTCCTTATAATGATTCACTCCTAAAATGAGGATGCTTATCTTTGATGGGATATCTTCATTTATATGATGTTTTTGAATCTTCTGCAAGTTGTAAAGACTAGCCCTTCATAATCTCCTCAAAAAATAAGGCAGAGCATTTGACGTGTGGAATTTCACACTTTGGAGACAATTGTGATCCATTGTGACCTTTCATTGGCTAAAGAAAAACTGACTGGACTTATTGGGGACTCCTTATCCATTGGAGCCGAAGTAATTTTTCCTTTAATGAAGGATACTATCAAAGGTTTTCCTCTGCATTGCTGAATCTAACTCATTCATTAACTCTTGAACCAACAGCAAATGGTAGCGCTTAATGGTCATAGAGTTCTTATGTTTTAACCATAACCAACCACCATATTGCAAGATAGATTAACCCACAATTTCTTTTATTTGTTGATAGAAAAGGTAGAATGGAAACACTGACTAAGAAAAAGGACAGGGAAGAACAAGTGAATGAAGACTAGTCTTTCCAGCTATGCGTTTCAAAATGCCTTGTGGTTGTTTGTATATGTAGAACTGTCCTTGTACAACCTGGCATCTTCTTTTCCTTCACTCTCCAGAGAAGTGCTTTCTTGTAGCCCCCCCCCCTTCTTTTCTCATGTTTCAAAGTTTATTTGTTTATGCCAAATGGCTTTCCGTTGGGCTGCGTAAAGGTAATAGAAGTGGATTCTTGTAGTGAAGTAATAGTTTAAAAATGCTGGACGAGCTGGGACTTGATAGGGGCATCAAGAGCTTATCCTATGCTTCCATTGGTAGAGGAGGCTGTTAAATCATTAGCTGCACGTGAAGCTTTACTCTTAGTCATGAAAAATGACGAACAGTCAATTATTCATCATTCTGCTCCTTTATTCTGCTTAACCACTTTGCAATGATTTTGAGGGGAAAAGACGCATACAAGCAGGTTAAGAGTGTCAATTGCATTACAGAGAACTACTGTAATGCGCTGGGCTTCTAGACATGGTCTACCAAAATTATCACAGTGATCCAGCTTGTGAATGCTTTATGTTAAATAATCTAGATGGAGAAAGAACTCAATGCTGAGCTCCACTGTTTCTTTTTTTTTTTTTTTTTGTTAAGTTTCCAACCTATAAAAAGACTTTTTCTACTCGTGGTCCCGGTTGCCTTTGAGCCTGAGTTTGAGCCTGAGTTTTCTAAAATTTGGGGCTATGTAAGATGGTTATGCAAAAAGTGCATGATAGAAGGTACGAATCATCCTTAATCTTACCCAGGCTCAATGCTGTATGGACCTAAGTAGGTGCAAGTTGAATTTTTCAGATTCATAAAGTTGTGTTAGTGGATGTATGGATGTGTTGTGACTTGTTAGTGGCCGTTCTTGGTTTTGTAGGTTTTGAGCTTGGGAAAGATCTATCTCAAGTCTACTAAATGAAGAATGAACTAATACGGAAACTTTATTGTTTCTGGTATTGTTGGTTTGCCAAGATATATTAAGACTGTTCTACTACTACCAGTAGTCCTGGTGGCTTTTAAGATTAAGTTTTCTGAAATTTGGGGCTATATGAGATGTTGATGCCAGAGGTGCACAGTAGATTAGTGCTAATTGATTTTTATCTTACCCAGGCCTGGTATACTATGGACTATAGGAGATTCAAGTTGTATTTCCTGATACATAAAGTGTTGTGATTCATGTGTCAATGTGCTACGAGGTAAAACTTTGTTCTGTTGCTATGTGTGGTGGCTTGCCCTCTATGTAGGCATAACATGGTGGGATGCTGACAGTTGCTGATTTAGAATTGCAATGATGTAGTGGGATGGAGACACACACTTAACATACAGTGAGTGAAAGTGAGTAAGAAAGAGAGAGATGATAATTAAAGCAACATTGGCAACAGTAAGCAGCAGAGAAAAGAGATAGATAAGGGGAAAAAGAAAGTGACGTGGGGGCAAATAGATAAAATGCACAAAGAAAAAAAGAGGAAAATCAACGTTTGGTTCAATGTGAAGTGTTTTCTGGAAATATTTTTCATTGAAGCCATTTTTTAAAAGAAAATATTTGGTTTTCCCACTATATTTCAGGTGATTGGTACTACCCACCTCTTTTACCACCGAATACTCCTGCTCCCACTCCTCCCTCCCACCTTCCCCAATTGCAGCACCCTTCTCCTCCACTGCCACCACGACCACAATCAACCATGTCACCATCTTTTACATTTAAATTCAAGATAATATCCAAATTAAAAACTTTTTGAAGGCAACAATCAGTTCGCCAAAAAAAAAAAGATTAAAGTGAAGGTTCCTTTATTGTTTACCTAGATTACTAAAACATCAATTAAGGACCATCTTGATATTACATTTAGATCTGCCTGCATTTGTGGGAGGGGGAGTAAGAATAGCAAAGAGGAGGAGGGGCCTCAGGTGAGGTAGTTACTGGTTGTTATTTTAGTGAAAGACTTGAAGGCTTTATTACATTTTGGAAACTGGAAAGTGCTAGTCAGCCTTTCCTATATTTCTAGATTGAATAGCTTGGAAAACAACTTCAGCAGATTCTTGTGAGAAGTTGTTTTACGGAGATCAGTAAAAGATTTACATTTCTAAAATGTTTTCTTAGATGAAAATGTAATCGAACACTAGAAAACTTGGAAAACTTTTTCTACAAAATTTTTTGTGCTGAAACCAACAAAGTCAAAGTAGAATTGGTTTATGTTGGGGGAACTCTAGTTAAAACATGAATGTATGAACTACTTATGATACTTCTTTTGCGGGTTTCCATTACTTGTACCTATTGTCACATCCCCGATTTATTAGCTTCTGTCATGTTTTATATCTATTTGTGTATGCTATCAACCAACTACCAAGTAGACATTCAGTTCATGTTTAGAGCATGACACATGGTTCCGGTTTATGTGTACTCTTTGTGCATGCATGTGCATGTTTTCTCCAATATGTCCCAACATTTTGAACTTTTGGGTTAGTATTCTTGTGTAATATGGACTTTTTGGTCTATCTTACACTTCTAAGATAGAAAATGCACTATTAACCTAGTTAGGTTTGATTCTACCAGGAACAAAAGTTAAAGGCTAGCTCATAAGAAAGAAATTCTTGAAAAATGAATGAGAAGAAAGATTTATTATGGTATTTGTGAGGTGATGATTCATGTGCTAAGTCAAGTTGAAAGCAAACTCTCTGTAGTTAGATTGACAGAGATAAACAGTATTGATGGGTGAAAAATGTGGAAGAGATGAAGAAAGAACTTGTGAAATGAGAGTGCAACATTGTACACAACACTACCTGAAAGATCTATAGCTATTCCGTTACATAGATTGCATGTTCGGCTATTTAACTTGTATGATATGCTTTCATCTCATTTCATTAGTCTGCAGCCATGAAGCCTCTTCATTCAAAATGCAGCACTAGTGCCAACTAAATTATGCCACAATTAGTGCAGGCACATATCCATGAGTGCCTTGTTACTTGCTTGGGTCAGTGTTGCTTTGGTCACACCGTGTTATCAGGAGAATTCAACTTACATGTTGACATTTATTTTTATTTTTTTTTTTATGAATACAACCAGGCTATTACAACTCAAGTATAGCCAGTTGATTTGCAATCAGCATGACTTATTCTACTTCTAAAGAAACTTATAACCATGACGATAAGCTTTGCTTTGCCAAATACCTTATAGGCCTTTCTATATGTATTGTGCATATGAGAAGTCTTGTTCAAGCTGACGAAACTACCACGTCCATCAAAAGAAATTGGTTTATTTAATGCAGGATATGATTTCTGAGTTACTTTCTGTGTTTCAATGCCTTCTTTGTACTGTCTTTAAGGATTCATGAATGATTTGCTGTATTGTTCTTTCTATATTGGACAAGGAGCAGTCCTGTTTTAGTTTATTATTTGTAACGCCATTATTTTCTCATACTTGCTGTGTTGTTGACTAGCTTTTGCGTCTTCAATGATGCAGCTCATGAGCCAAAGCTCTCAAGCAGGCACAAGTACTGGTGCACAAGGCCAATATGCCCCAGCCATTGCCGGAGGAACAATTCCCCAGCCACGCCCAACAGGCATGGCACCCCAGCCCGTCCCACTTGGATCTGGTCCTGATATATTCATGCATGATGAAGACGAAGAAAAAATAAAATTGCGAGGAGAAAAAGCTGCAAGGGCAGGAGGTTGGAGTCTAGACTTGAGCAAGAAAAGAGCACTTGAAGAAGCCTTTGGAAGCATTTGGATATAGTTTTTGGTCGTTGGGATTTTATGAGGAACCACAATTTTCTCTAAGTGTAACACGTGCAGAGTTTCAAGAACATTTAAGAGTTTAAAATATCTTCCTCTACTGGATGGTGGTAACAATCACTTCCAGGAGAGGCAAATATTGAGGCAATATTTGGATATTTAGCAGGGATTTTTTGACTTATAACATTGTTGTAATGCTTGAAATGTTGGCAAGCTCCCGACATCCTCCTCCCTCCCCCCACCCTTCCCCTCCCAGAAAACCACAAAAAAAAGTGCTTCAAAATGTGTAACTGTATTCATGTCTTCTATCTTACTGTATTTCTATCCTAGGCTAGATTTTGCTACGTTCTTGCGAGTTACAGACTTGATTTTACAGCATTTTGGCCCATTGAACTGATCAGAAGCTCGAGCTTTTCCCCATAAAGCAGCTACCTGGAGGACTTTGTCAGAAACATTAGATTTATTCTTATTATCTGGGGTCTCCATAAAGAGCATGGTTTTGGTTTTTTTTTTTTTTTTTTTTTTTTTGGTGGACATCTGAACCTAGGGGACCTGAAATCTATTTTCTGGAAAGCAGTGTGAAGAAAGTTGTTACTCTAAATCCCAGATACCAAATCCAATAGTCGGTTTCCAGCGGGCATTTTACCATGGATATATGTACATCTAAAGGGCCACTTAGGACGAGAGCAGATCATCTGTCCAATATTATATGTTCAATTTTCTGTCCAATGTGAAACTACGTACATCTAAAGGGCCACTTAGGACGAGAGCAGATCATCTGTCCAATATTATATGTTCAATTTTCTGTCCAATGTGAAACTACGTAGTTTCACTTATTATATCTGTTGATATGGCAACTAAAAATAGGTGGCTGTTTGGCTGTCTTATACTTCTTTTTCTTTCTTCTTTTTGGGGTTTCCTTTATTTACACAACTTTGTTACAATTCTCATCTTTTTTAAAACAAAGTATCAAGGGTTTCAAATACAAAAGAATATTTTAAAAATATGGGAATTGTAACAAAGTTGTGTAAACAAAGGAAATCCAAACAAGAAAAAATAAAAAGAAATATAAGGCAGCCAAACAGCCACTTATTTTTAGTTGCCATATCAACAGATATAATAAGTGAAACTACGTAGTTTCACATTGGACAGGAAATTGGACACAAAATATTGGACAGAGGATCTGCTCTCGTTAAGAACACCTCCATCTGCTGCAAAGGGAATTTAAAAAAGCTAGAATAGACCATAGAAATCTTGATGGTAAAATGTTTCATCCCAGTTGAGTCAATGGTTTGTCTAACTGCTCTAAACAATCTTATGAATGAAAAGAAAACAAAAAAAAAAAAAAAATATATCCCTAATTAGAACCAAAATCCAGTAAATCTTGATCCCAAAAAAATAAAGAAAGCGATAAACCAAAACAAATCCAAATCACCATGCTTTCATGATCTGCAGGAAATAGGATGTACTCACTGGACCCTAAACAAACCACAGCTCGTCGGGTAGCATGCGGACTACGTATGACTGAGGAATAATGCTTTTCTTAGATTTTGCAACCATCACCAGTCATATACCTTTGCTTTTTCTTCTTCTTTTTTTTTTTTTTTTGTGAAAAAGACATCAACACATATGAAATAGATAGAAAGGATGGTATATTGATACGCAAAGAAAATGCACTTTTCAGATATCTTTTGCTTTTGCTCTATTCAAGTCAAAGCCAACCTTCCACCATCCTCCCTCTTGTTCTTACAAGATTTTATCTGAACTCGTACAATTTTGGTGTAAATATAAATTTAGTTTGTGTACATGAACTCGACAAAAAAAAAAAAATCAAATCTTATAGAAATTACACAAATCGTTATAAAAATCTTATAAAACAAATCTTTATAAGACACAGCTAGAGCAGATTAAAAAAAAAGAAGAAAAAAAATCGAAGCCTATAATTTATATTTATATTATTTGTTGTAAAGAATGACCAATGTAGACATGTTGACTGCTAACCCCTTTGTTTAGACATGCTTCATGCTTTCAACCTAACCCCAAAACCATTTCTTTTGTTTTTCAGGTCTTTGCTTCCATTTGGATGAGATCTCCACTTCATCTTTACATGTCCATCCAATAATTGATATGAATCTTGCCTTTTCAATTTTGTGTATCAAAATATCTTGTGGATATCCTATAGAAAAATGGAACAATTTGAACACGAAGGCAGGCAAGATAAGGGGGACGAAAGAGATTGATGGGACATAAAAAATTTTGATGTGAGGTCTCAAACAGATGCCCATGCCCAGTTGATTAGAAAGTTTCCATTTATATACAGTTCGTCATCCAGACATAGACTTGTTTAATTTGTGCATCCAATTTTTGCATGAGTTACAAGGAAAATAGAGGTCTAAGGAATATTTTCTAATTTGTCTCATTGAAAATAATGCCATAGTACATTGATATCAGTTGCATGGTTGTTTATTTCTTTTTTAAAACAATACAATATTTTGCCAAAATCCAAATACGCATTGGATTTGCAATTATTTGGAAAGTTACATCATAAACACAATTTTCAATTATCTTTCTATTTTTTTCGACCACTTTTATCTCTTATTCATCACATAACAAAAAATATATATATAGTATCATTCCAAAAAAAATTTCAAATAATCTTCCACCCAAACACATTGATTTTTTTTTTTTCGAGGAAGAACACTTTAGCACCAAAAGGAGATTAGAAAAAATACCAAATATGAAGAAAAAATGGAGTCTCTTCTACTAAATTAATAGGACCCAATAAAATTTTTTTGGTCACTATCAATTATATTATTTGTTTGTTTGTAATAAATAAGCAAATATTCAGACATATCCCAGCATCATGGGAAGTTTCTTTGACTATTTAATCCTCAATATAATACAACTATTTCCACTTTTCTTGCAAATGTAGCAAGCACTCAACCGGATCATCCGGCGTGATTTGTGAGAGTTGATAATCAGAGCTGTTTTATTCCATCATCTGCAGTTCGTCATGACTCATGAGGATTAATTTAGGGTTTTAGACAAAATAAAAAGTTGTTAAATAAGCCCTGTTGGCTTTTTTAAACAAATCATGAGTAGCAACTTGATGTTGCAGCAAAGATACGAGAAGTATATGTTGACTAGGGATATTAAACAATTACCGCGGAAAGTACGAGAATGCTTTGTTAAATTGCACAAGAAAAGGGTAAGGTTGTGTTTGGATTGCATTTTTCGTCATTTTTCATGGAAAAATTACTGTAGCGATTTGATATACGTGAGGGAAAAAGGTGATAGGGAAATGTGATCACGAAAAACGACAATATTTTCCGACGGAAACAAGCTATCCAAGCATGGATTCTTCTCAGTGTGCACTCAACATTTGTTGTGGAACATCAAGGGGCATGCTTTACAAAATCAAAAAAGACCTGAATAAATTGATAAAATTTGTCAGTTAATTTTTTTGCTTCAAAGTAAAAAGGTTTGTAGCATCTCTTAGTATTTGGTAATTAATTAAAGTATGGGTTTGTCAAACAAGTATCCAGTAAGTACCTGTTAAATTGTAGTTCATTTCTTAATATTTTAAAAAAGAAAAATTAATTAATTAGAAAAAGTTTATAAATATAAAATAGGATAATAATTATTAGTCACGTATTTATAATAAAAGAAAGGTGTAATTTAAATATCTTATCAAGTGCCTGTTGAGTATCCATTAGAAAAGCCTAAAAGCATGAGTCTCTCCTCGTGATTCATATGTAGAATATATATAGGTACTCCTTCTTGTTGGCAAGTCAGATGGAACAAAAGACCCAACCACCTGTCATGGAATAGCTATTGGTGTTGCCCAAACAAACATGTGATCAGAAATGAGCTCGTGAAGCATGTTGGAACAACTAATAGAATTCGTATATTTAAAAAAAAAAAAAAAAAAAAAAAAGGAAAAGGCAGTAGGTATCTGGCATTCAACAAATCTAGTTCAAAGAAGACAAATGAAGGGCTTATTCTCAATTGCATCTAATCCTCAAAAGTAGAATTAGAATAAAAAGGCATCTATTTTGCTATCTTAATTTGATTATCGGCTTTTTACTTCCAAAAAATTAAAAGCAGGTCTTGAAAAGACAATTGGAAACAAAACAAAAAAAAAAATCGATTTTTCGTTTTCAAAATCTATAATCAACTTTATTGTGTTTGGATTGCAAAGAAAAATTGTTACATTTTCCGTGAACACATTTTCTAATCATCTTTTTACCTCACATATATCAAATTGCTATGGTAATTTTTCTACAACAAGTCCAAAAAAATGCAATCCAAACAAAGCCTGTCCAGAAAAGTTTTTAGTAGTTCTTTTACAATCATCTTAACAAAAACAAGGTAACCATGTCGTTCTGATGGTTTTTCTTGCACAAGTATACTATTATACACAAAATGATCACCAAATATATCAGTTAATTTGTATATATCACTTGTTAAATTTAGGGCAAATCTCTTCATTAAACACCCCCCCTACCAACCCAAAAAATAAAAAAGTAATAGGTCCCAAGACTTTAGTTATTTTTGTATAGATAAAACTAGAAATGGCAATTTTTGGCATTACGCGATAGCACGACTCAAACATGACCCAAAATTAGCAGGTAATAACACTACCCTAGTTCAAGTGGGTCATTATTGGATCAACCTGTTAATAACACAACTAAAAACGGGTCAGTTGGATCAGCCCACAGGTGGACACGTTAATCTGATAAAAAAAAATAGCTCTTTTAGAATATTATAAATTATAGAGGCAATTTTGGTAGTTTCTAAAAAGTAAAAACCTACAAACAAACTAATAAATTATCAACGTAATGCAAGATGACTCATTTGTGTTCCTCCAACTCATTTATCTAATTGTCTGCCTCTAAATTCAAAATCCTACACCCTATGGCCATGCATTTTTCTTAAAACCCAACCCCTAAATCATTTATCCAATTGTCTTCCTCTGAATTCCAAACCCCACACCCTACGGCCATAAATCTTTTCTTAAAACCCAACCCCTAAATCACAAATTTGGAACTTGCAAGTATATTGTTGTTTGAGTAGGTAAGTTTAATAGTTACGATGATTTATTTGATCTTTCTATACGTCAGGCATGTGTTTTATGTTGGTCACAATTTAAAAGAAAATATTTAAAAGATGATTTGACTAGGATTCAGTTGAAGTTTGTTTAACATCATTATGATATACCAATATTATACCTGGCAGTTGGGCGGATTTTGGGCGGGTTGATATTGGGTTTTCATTTAAATGGATTACACCCAATCCGCCCAACATTAGGTTGGGTTAATTTTGGATTGGGTCATATTGGATT